GACAATTACTCACAAAAATGTTTCCCTTTAAGCATTACAAGTAAATACTTTTAAATATTTAAATGACATTGTTTTTTTTCAAACAAATCAATATTATTTGCTTACTTAAACGTCATATACAATGCTGAGATCACTACGGGGCTGTCTTAGAGTGTAGCTGCACTGGCAACCTTTAGGCTAGACTCAAGGGGTCATTATACCAGAACAACATGATTCTACCAGCCAGTAGTTCATTTTTCTACTAGATTGGTGCTACGCTCAGCATTTAGGTGCCAGATTCAGAAAAAAGAGTAAGGCGTACCGATGAATAGGTGCCAGAAACAGCTAATTAAGGTCATTTTCCATGATTGGTGCTGGTATCCACCAAATAGGTGCTGAGGACCAATTTTGGGGCGAGTCAGCTTTTAGGTGCCAGAAATAGCTTTTCTGGGACGCAATTAAATGGCGTCCATTAACTTCGCACGTCGCATCACTGGGAGAGAGGCCCACAGTAGGGTTGTTCAAAAAAACCGAATTTTGGAAAAGTATACGGGCTCATGGCTCGTGTGGTGAGGTATTCTTTTCTGAGTCCAACGATGTCCTTTTTTCCGAAAAATATTAACTGCTTCATGCTCCCCAAACGGCTTGAAGAGGAGGATGTTACGCCCGGCGACCGGCCGGTGTCAATAAGGGCGAGAATTCGGTGCCGCGCGCCGGCGGAGGCGCCTTATCGGCACCGCGCGCCACGACATCTACCGGGCGGCCGGCCGACCGGTGTAAGGGAATGAATGAGTGGTCTTCTTTCACATGATAGGGGTGCGCTAGCCCATATTGTCGGAGTGGAAAGTTTCAGTGCAGCATCGGTACCTCTGCCGCAGTGTTCTGTGTCGATGCCCGATGGTTCAGAAAAAAGCCAAGCAGAACTAAGAAAAGACTCAATGCTTCTGGCTAGTTCACTATAAACATCTCGTTTCGAGAATACAGCGCGGCGTTTCACGGCCGCTGCTACCAAGATTGCTGCTACCACGCTGCCGGCAGGCTGACTGACTACATCGTCCGAGTTTGCTGATATCTCCATGGACACCCAATTTGACACGTAGGCTGCTAGCGAGCAGTAATCGCCACGCACTTTGAGAATGTGGATCGATCATGGTTGTTCAATACAAAAGCGCCCGTGAAACAGGACCCAGCTGCCACTCAACATACCATATCGCTTTGTTCATGAGTCAAGACGCGAACTCTGAGCAATAACACAGCTCTTTGCACTGCTGTCGACAACTTACATTGCTTTTAGACGGTGGCTTGCAGCCCACATATGCTGTTGCCAACGGTATGCGAAAATTTGAAGTTTACTAAGAACAGCAGGAGCTGGCAATGTGCAAGGACAGAATATGGAGACCCCGGCATCGACGTTAGGTTTAACCCTCGCCGGCCGAGGGGGGGGGCGGGTGCCGCCCCCCCCATAGGGTTTTTTCGCGATAGCTCCGGACACGCTGGCGATAGAGAGCTGAAACTTGGCATACCTGACCTTTGATCCAAGCCGCATCTTTTGACACCAACCGCATTTTTGGGTCAGGTCAGGTCACTGACCTATGACGTCATAAGTGAACCTCTGCACGGTCTTCAGATGTCGCAACTTCGCAACGCCCTCACTGCCAGAGGAAATGTCACAGGGAAATGAAACTTGCAGGATCTAGTATCCATTATGAGTCTCACAACTTGTATATCTCGGATTTTTCCTAAAGGTCATATGAGGTCAGGTCATTTTCGTGACCTCACCATTATAAGTCAATGGGGAAAAATGAAAACTGCTATTCTGGCGCCGGGAACGATCTCCAACTATCTCAAGCACACAGAATCGTGATTTGATGCACTCCTTGCAAGGTTAGATGAGTCACTTTTGCAATGTTGACCTTCCGTGACGTCATTTATGACGTCATCAAGGTCATATTAGTTTTTCGTCAATAACTCCCGATCAAATTGAGCTAGCGAGTCGGGAAAGCCACCAATGGACTCAGCAAGACCTGCCGAATCGAATGATATGCGACATGACCTCTTTCGACCAACTTCGTGACCTGGGGGTGCTGACCTGACCTTGACCTGAGGTCAACACCCTAAGTTGACCTGACCCGAACAAAAAGTATATCATTCGACGCGCCTGAGCAAGGCGAACACGATGCTGCCAAAATCGCGGCTCTGCGGCCGTTTTTCGCGAAGTTATTCGCCAAAAACTGAACCGTACCCTGGGGCACTTGACCTGACCTCAGAGGTCACCAGTTGACCTAGGACCTTAAAATCGGGTACCAATCTCTGCGTCTCGTAACGGCGCACACGCTCGTTTTTTCCGCGACGCGCTAGCTCCACCAGGGGCGAAACGGCGAGGGGGGGGTCGTACCCGCCCCCCCCCTCGGCCGGCGCGTATGTAGAAAACCAATAGGTCCGGCGAGGGTTAACCTACATTAGCACTTAGCAGTTAAAAAAAGGATGACATGCCCGGGAATGACGCGGTGGCCGCCCTGACATCGTGATGAAGTTGGGTGTGAGTAGAGACAATAGCTGGAGTACACATAATGTCAAGCGCCCATCAATCCAACCCTTCGGGCAGCAGCAGCATCAGCAGCCCGGCCATGTCCACCGATGCCGCTCAAGATCCGATCCAGAGCCGGCAGAGAGCACGGCTCTGCCCTGACCTGACACATATCCCCGGCGTGTCATGACGGACAGACCATTACCTCGCCTGTATAAATACAATGTATACAGTATACCTAACTTACCTATTTCTAAGTCTCATGTTGAGGCAAGAAGTGATCACTATCAGCGTCCAGTTCTACTTCGACGAAGACTCGTATTCAGACCTGGCAAAGAGAGCACGGCTCTGCCCTGTTTCCGCGGCTTCTAATGGCCACATCGATACGAGACATCTCCAATCGTCTGTTTTACCTAACTACAAAACCAGGTTGTTGTGTTGCGATTAGCACGATACAATTGTTGCGTACAGCGTAGATATTTGTTAAATGCGTAATTGATTAGAAATAGGAAAAGTAAACATTGCCATCGTCATTCGCCAAACAGGCGATGTCAAGCATAAGTCTGTCCGTCATGACACGCCGGGGATGTGTGTCAGGTCAGGGCGGCTCTGCCCTGGGGGATGTGTGACGCGCTCTATGCCGGCTCTGGATTCGGGTCTTGAACGACACCGGCGCGGTGGGCACGGCCGGGCTGCCGGTGCCGCTGCTGGATTGAGCGACACAATTGATTTATATGTGTACTCCCGCTATTGTCTCTACTCAATTCGTCACACTGTAAGGGTGGCCAAACTGTCTTCCCAGACATGTTATCTTTTCTTTCGAACTGCTAATCTAAGTAAAACAAACGTCAATCCTTGCAGCTTGATGAATAAACAAAGCGATATGTTACGCTAAGGAGGCAGCTGTATTCTGTAAACGGAATGTTTCGACTTTCGAGTGAACTACCCAGAAGCGTTGAGTCTTTTCTTAGTTCTGTTTGGCTTATTTTCTGAACAATCGACACAGAACAACGCGGCAAAGGTACCGATGCTGCACTGAAACTTTCCGCTCCAACAATATGGGTAGCGCACCCCTATCATGTGAAAGAGGACCACGCATTTTATTCCCTCCCACCACTGGCCGGCCGGCCGCCCGGTAGATGTCGTGGCGCGCGGTGCCGATAAGGCGCCTCCGCCGGCGCGCGGCGGCGAATTCTCGCCCTTACTGACACCGGCCGGCCGCCGGGCGTGACATGGTCCTCTTCAAGCCGTTTGGGGAGCATGAAGCAGTTAATATTTTTCGGAAAAAAGGGCATCGTTGGACTCAAAAAAGAATACCTCACCACACGAGCCATGAGCCCGTATACTTTTCCAAAATTCGATTTTTTTGAACAACCCTAGCCCACAGCTTAACATGGCATGGTGATGTTAGCTCTGAATATCATATTGCGGCACTAAAACTCATTCGTCAATGCTTGCTTTTCCCAGAATGTACCCCACCTGCAATAGTTTCTTTTTTCAAGGTACGGCAATCGGAACGATCGACGAGGCAATGGAATAATCTTGACCTTGACATTCCGAAAACCGAATATAAAAAGACATCGTTGTCTTACCATGGCTCAAAGTTGTGGAACAGCCTTCCTTATCATGTACGGAACTGTTCTAAAACCGAATTCGTTAATTACATCCATGACAGAGCGAATCATGGTGGACTGAGTGTGTAAACATTTGATGTACCTATGAACATTGTGTATATGTGTGTTGTATGTGTATTGTGTAATGTGTATGTATGAAGATTGTACCACTACCCAACGTAATGCCCACTACTTTGTGGTTGTCGGGTATACTGAAATAATAATAATAATAATAATAAAATAATATAGGTACTGCAGGTTTCGGTGCTGCGTTTTCTGTCACATGGGTATCACCTCTCCGCCTTGGCTCTTCTATCATCCGCTACCAAGTGGGTCACAGCATTTATATATTGATAATACTTACGAATCATTTCCTCTGGGTTTCTGGATTTCTGGATATCGTGCTATCCTAATTGTTGAGATTGTAGACTCCGCCATTTCAGTAAAAGGACCCAGCAGTCAGCTCCTATTCGTAGGGACGGTTGCTTCGTGCAAAGTTACATCCTACAATCAATAACTTCCGAATTTTTAGAAGATGAACTTCAGAAAGTATAAGTACTGTTTGACGAAAATGGGTTCAGTGACAACAATTTTATACAATGGTTTAACTATTCAGACAATGGTTGTCCCAGGCGTCAACTTGATTGGTAATACCGGACAGTGTCTGCTCTCGCGAACCAAGAACCATTCTGAGTGTCAGTCATTCGAGCTTGAAGTTTTACAGCCCCTCCAGACGAAGCAAAATAAACGACGATAGAACGAGTGACGAGCTTTTGGGGCAAGTGGAAATCATCTCTGACCATGTGCCATAGCGAGATTGTCTAAAAGTTGCCAGTTAAATCCTTCAGTTTTCGCAAGAACATAGATGGATGACGCCACCGTTCTAAATAATTGCATGTATTCAAGATATAAATTAGTACGCTATCGCAAAACATTGTCATTTCCTGATGAACACGCGTACGCATTTTGTTATCTGAGGGTGACAAAAAAAGGATATTCTATCAGAAACAAGATAGGGGTATTCGAGTACTTTGGCCCTAACGTTGTCACTTATAAAAAGATACTTGTTGTATAGCAGGGCAGAAATGAGTGGCACAAATTTTTTGGAAAATAATTCAAATGCATATTTAAAAGCACACACATGCGCACGACGCACGAATATTGGACAAGAATGGAGGACGTCCAGTATCATCACAAATCCAATACTGTACTATTCACAGTTCAAATCATGAAATTAGCGGTCTCAAGAAAAGAGTAATACATGTTTTGGGCCATGAAAAATAACAAAAAAAAATATGAAAGGGCAAAAACACACGATTCATGGAAAAACGGAAGGAAGAAAGCTGCCTATTCAAAACTTTCGCCACATGGAAAAGACCAGTCAACCTGCTAATATAAAACACAGATCCTGTAGAATCGTTCAACTTCCAGCAGACTTTGTACATGGCTGTACATATCAACACAGAAAATGGACAACCAAAAATTACCAGATACCGTAAGGTGGGGCTATTTGAGACAGTGGGGCTATTTGAGACAGTATTTAAAATTTCTATAAAATAAAAACCACTTAAAATTTATGCTTTATTTTTTGTTCAGGCGATTTACTGCTCGATTCCCCACCTCCCTGAGCAAAAATATCACACAAAAATCAAACGATCTTCATTTTATAGCGATTTCAAATACTGTCTCAAATAGCCCCACTGTCTCAAATAGCCCCACTTTACGGTACTATCAAAGCACATACACATCACCTATTCATTCTGCATTCATTTCGTACACATACCAAATGAGAGCAATGTCAATAAACACATTCGACATAGACATAAAAAACTTCTGCTAAAGCACTGACTGGAGAGGTAAAATGTCAGAATGACATTTCGAGCTTTGGCTCATGGTTTCTTGTTCAACTATGCGCATCACGTCGGTCCAAAGCCGAGTTCACATGCTCTGAGACTGGCCACTCAGTTGATGCTATTAGCGAGCAGTGAACAAAAGTCTGCGGCTCTGTTTTCCAGTTGCACCGCCGGCGCTAGCACAGAACGTATTTCTGCTTCTTAGTCATTGCTTGAAAGCCACCAAGGCAGACATCGAGGGGTTCCTGTTTTTGGGCCAGGACACACTGAAAGCACATCATTGTGCACACGACATCGTCCACTTTATCAGCCTCTCTCGGGCGTGGGCTGCTCGCAAGATCGCAGCCTGTCCCGAACCCAGCTCTGAGCCGCAAAAATGCACACACAACCATTGGCGAGTCCGAGAGTTTCTGGATGATTCGCACTGTCCCCAGGTTTGAGAGGCACGCGTTGACTGCGTGTTCACGAAGGTCCCAGACCAAGGGCTCCACGAGACGGTCGGCAGGCTAAAGATGACGTCATCATGAGTAGATGGTCATCAGGATCATCTGAAGTACGACAGGCGTAGCAACGTTAAAAATAGCAAAAAATAGCACACTGATCAGGTTTAGTGATGGACACAACAGAACATAGGGCAGCAAATGAACGACGAACAGCGATCTCGGCCAACTATAAGTAAGCCACTTTGTAATATATGTACTTTACTATATGCATACATTATACATTATACATTATACATACTTTTACTTCACTCCCCAACCAGCCCCATATTCAAAGTTCGTGTGAATTCAGCAATTTACGGTATCATTCATCTATTTTCACTACAGATCGCTACGTTCTTTTTACCATTTAAAAATATAACCTAACAAAACTATGTACGTTATACATTTGTTTTGGAACTCGGGGCATTCGACCGATCCCGACTGCATTGACACGCTCTAAAGTTCGCACCTCCTCCAGGGAGATGGGGTTGGTCTTCATCTTGGTGTCGATACTGTGGTAGCGCTCGTGCGCCAGATGAAGCCGCACCATGGCGATGAGGAAGCTCTCAACCGTCAGTACGCAGCTCTTGGTGAAACGCAGGATCAGACACTCCAGGACCTGCGGAGGAAACAGGGTCAGACACTTCAGAACACGGGAATCAAAGAACCAGGCACTCCACGACCTGCGGAAGAAACAGGATCAGACACTTCAAGACCTGTGTAAAAACAGGATCAGACTCTCCAGAACCTGTGTAACAGCAGTGTCGGACATTCAATATTACAGATCCTGTGTGGGAGCAAGGATCGTACGCCATGTTCAGAGTGCGCCGTAGCGGAACAAAGTCAAGGCTTTTTGATTTCAGAAAATTCATTGAAAATCTGACTTCAACTATGGTAACATCTTACTTCTACTCTTATTTCGAAAACATCCTTTTCTGGCAGCCCTGAACATAACAGCAGAAGTGACACCACGAGCAGATGTACGGACTCTCCGTTTGCCAGCCACTGTATACCTTGTTGGAGACGGTGACGCCGGCCCGTTCCTTGTTCCCCAGTGTCTGTACCTTGTTCCCCAGTGTCTGTACCTTGTTCTCCAGCGTCTGTACATAACGGCGGGTTGTTTTACCTTGTTGGAGACGGTGACGCCGGCCGGTACCTTGTTCCCTGCAGCGTCTGTATGCAGTGATGCACCTTGTTCCCCAGTGTCTGTACCTTGTCCCCAGCGTCTGTACATAACTGCTGGTTGTTTTACCTTGTTGGAGACGGTGACGCCGGCCTCGTACAGGATCGGCCTCGTGTTGTAGCTGGACGTCTTGTTGGTGTGGCCGCGATCGTACTTCAGAAACGCCAACTGAAATAACGATAAAACGCCGTCAGTACAGTGAATGAGATCTATAGAGGAACAACGATGTATGGCATTTAAAAAGGGAAAATCCATAGATGGCACCATAATCAGACAATTTTCTGATAGGAAAACGAATGCACATTGCATAAAGAAGAAGTTATTTTCACAAGCCAGCTTTGGTTGTGTAGCGTAATCACCTGGCTTCCAAGCAGTGTGTGTGGTAGTTACGTGGTTACGTGACTTAACTCCTAACTGGCTCCTGTTAGCGTTCGACCGGGCCCAGATCCACCCACCCATACATGGGTCAGAGAAGATGAATCCCCTCCGTCATTACATACCCGCCACGAGTGTAGCGTGAGCAGGATGGCGGGAATTTCGAACAGACTGATCCTGCCCGAGATGCTGTAGTCGCGCAGCATGATCAGAGACTTGCACAGCTCCAGACTGGGTTTGTCCGAGTGAAACACTGAAAACGGACAGTGATAGGAATGGTAAGATCAGTTACATCATCAGCGACTCGCGCACTGCACAGTGCAAGACTGGGCTTGTTCGAGTGAAACACTGAAAACGGAGACGGGGTATTGGAGCGGTAAACCAAGCGGTAGGAGCGCCACAAACGGTAGTTAGATATACAGACACGGATACAAATCATTCGTCAGGCTCTGAACGATGTTTACCAGGTATCAGTGCAATTGAACACTTTCGCTGGGACCCCACAAGCGAGTACTAGTCACTCGCAGCGCATTTCGACTGCGAATCTACAGAAAATGACGTATATTATTACTCTTATCGAAATTATCGCCCATTCAGCATGATGTCATCATCCATCAGAAATATTTGATAAACATACAGACTTGGAGCGCACATACAATGTCAAACATTTCGATAAACATAGCACAGCCAGTGATAAAATATAGCACTTAAATTGTCACCAGTGAGCACACAGCTTCTGTTGAGCAGGTTACCTTGCTTGCCGCCCTTCCAGTGGGCCTTGAGGATCTTGAGCAGGATGGCGGAGTCGACGTCCGGGGGGTACTTGGCCACCAGCTTGGCCAGGATCAGACGAGAGTCCGGCTGAAGGCACACACAAACGATGATTACCGAGCGCAATAACGATGAGTTGGTAAGTGGCAGTGCACAACAATCTAACAGCAACAATCATATGCAACAAATTAGTCACATTATTTGTTACGTGTAAAAATGAATATGTAAAATAGGTATTTTGAATGATCTGACAGCAAAGATAAGCAAGACTTTATATAAAATATAATGAATAATACTCTTTTTTTGTCTTGGTTTTCCTCTGATCTGCCATAAACTTCCACAACAGTTTTATCTTATGTCTGCATAAGAGACATTGTCTGGTAAATGTCAATCCATTACGTACGTATCGGATGCTGTCTTCCAGCGAGTCGGACGACACTGGTCGGAACACCATGTTGTCTTCATTCACCTCCCTGTGGAAACGGAAACGGGGTATTGACTATCACACATCAACACGGAGGAATACATCATAAAGATACGAACAGAACCCGTATCTAAGTAAGGAAGGCTTCATAAAAGTTCGTTTCAATTAAATATAATAACTTGCTTGCATCATTGGTTGAAATATCAATACTAGAACAATATCTGCCATACTATGTAGAAACAATATCTGCCCAATCTCCCAAACACTAACCGTGGGATATGATAATGAAACCTACCTAACTATTATAAACCACCTAGCAGCTGTACTGATACTGGCATCGGGCCGACAATGAATGATTTGGATTTTTTTGTCGCATCACCGTCACAGTGCCGGTCACATTACCCACATTACCGTCACAGCGCCAGTCACATTACCGTCACAGCGCCGGTCACATTACCGTCACAGTGCCGGTCATATTACCGTCACATTACCGTCACATTACCGTCACATTACCGTCACATTACCGTCACATTACCGTCACAATTGCGTCACATTTCTGCGCCACCCCACAGCAGTCCCGCTCACCAAATGTTGCTCTGTTCGTCTGTGAGCACCCGGAACAGAAACTTGGCGTCCCGGTTGGGCGTGGCTGTCTGAGGGACCACGATATAGTCCCCCGGAGGTAGTGTGAAGAAGGTGGCCGTCTCACGGGTACACGTGTACGCGGTGACGTCCAGCGGCTTCTGTAGGGGGGACAGAGAGGTGATGTCAACTTCAGTGTGTCCGGAAATCAAGCCAAGCCAAATGACAACGAAAACGCATGGGAATTTATTGAATCATGGTTGAACCTGAGTAGATATCAAATTGAGAATGTCCATTCGGTAATTGAACGAAGACATGCATCTCTTCCTACTCAATTCAATGATCGAAAATATGTCTTCAACAAACACGGTGGAAGAAAACGGCAATGATGGCATCGTAAATTGACATGGTTATTGTGAACAGCACATGTAGCAGGACGTGTAACAAAATATATGCTAAGCTAAGAGGCTAAGAGCACACGAAACGTAAGTAGAATGGGTCGCTATTATGGAACCTATCACACCGATATGCGTCGAACGGTATTCACCAATTATTATATACAAGCTGTATCGGAGACAGTCTCCCCCACTGCCAACTGACCGTGTTGGCTATGACCTCCTTGGTCAGCCGGTGGACCGACGAGGGCACTCCGTACACGGAGAAGCCTATGGGCGCCAGCGGCCGGCGCCGCTTCTTGACGTCATCAGAGGGCAGCGTGTCGTACTCCTGAGTCAGTGACACCACCACGTGACACTTGCTGGCCGAGCTGCGAGGGATCTGGATGTGAAACTGCGGGTTCTGGCCGGCCGTCTCTGTGGGGCGGGAAACAGACGGTTAGTGCACGGGTAAGGGATTCTGGCTCCCTTACCCGTGCACTAACAGACGGTTAGTGCACGGGTAAGGGATTCTGGCCCCAGTTTTCGTGGAAGGGCAAACACAACGTATGTTGAGGCAAGGCGGGAATGGTTCGTCTGTCATTCCTGTAGCAAAATACCATCAAGCACCTTATGTAAGCTTCTGCATTGGTAAGAATCGATCATGGGTATCTTATTTGTAAGGCATTTGAATGGTGCCACGATACTCATTCGTGCCAATACTAGCGTTGATAGCGTTAACATCGTTATATGTGCCGCAAATGTTCTCGAAACTTATGTTAATGCGATTCAACAACATCGTTGATAACTCGCATGCTCCCACTCCCACTAAACAGACTTCATCGAAAAACATGTGCGGCGCTTTGTTCATAGATAAGTTTTACATTTCGAGTAGAAATGACAGTATTATCGTAGCCTTAGCAGAATTAATGGTTTTGAGCCATGACATCGTAATCAGGAAATCAAAGAACACCGGTGAACACCCGGCTGAGCACATGCGATCCGGCATAGTGCCACTGTTCCTTGTCACCTGTTCAGCTCTTTTCAGCGTGGGTGGACATGAGTACGTTGGGGTGCGGCGAAGGGAAAATTCACGGCCGTAGCAGCATCAAAGTTACCGCGCATGGCCGTGGCAAGGTTTTGGGAACGACTTCCTCAAGCAACTATAGCTGAGTAGCATTATTTAGCAAGCTGATCGAAAGCATATTGCAAGTTTTATTGAAATGGTAAAAATAGAAATAAAACAGCAACACGATACAAAATAAATCATAAAAGCATAATAATTTTATCAGTCAACAACAATGCAATCAAGGTTCCTGGATACCTGCGAGGAGATTAGCCTACAGTTGGTCAGTAAGCGTTATGCTCTTTATAGTAGCCTCATCACACAGCCACCAAGCCTTCCCTCGCTTCAGCGACGTCATTACACCCCCTCTGACGTCACTGCACCTCCTAATCTGACGTCACTCCCCTCTATGACGTCACTCACCACAGCCGGGTCCGCCGCCGGCGTTGTAGCCTGTTCTCCACCGTCGTCTGGCCAGAACTGCCCTCCACGGCTTCTTACTGTGTAAGCACGACTCGCTCATCCAGTCATCTGGGCCGATATGGACCAGGTCCAGATGACTGAACACCCGCGCGAAGTCATCGAATGACATCCTGAGGACAGGAGAAGAGGGAGATGAGACGTTGAATGACATCCGGCGTGAGCAAAGTGGCGGGGGATGAGGTGTCGCTGAGCTACCTTTTTCTATGGTAGAAGTAACACTCTTCGCAAGAGCAACAAAACAAAACAAAGCAAAACAAAACAAAACAAAACAAAACAAAACAAAACAAAACAAAACAAAACAAAACAAAACAAAACAAAACAAAACAAAACAAAACAAAACAAAACAAAACAAAACAAAACAAACGAAACAAAACAAAACAAAACAAAAACGATAATGAAACAAAAATTTTCACGGCTCCAGTTTGCTACCAAATTGCGAAAGCTTCTACCACAGCTCTCTTTTGAGAGTAAGTACTCGTTAAAGCTCTGTAAGTTTCGTCAGCACTCTGGCACACTCAACTCATCAAACTCTCCCAAACTCGACTCACCAAAATTCTCCGTCGTTGGCGACTCTGACGCTGAGCAGGTCCTTGTCCCGGTCACTGAGACTGTCCCACTCCCAGCTCCTCTCACTCCAGGGGCCATTCCACTCTCCCCGGCCCCACGGGTTCCTCAGTCTGTGGGAAAAAAGACAGGGAGGACGCGTTATTGATCACTGTGAGGACGAGAGGGTAGTGTAGGGGTAGGGTAGGGTAGGGTAGGGTAGGGTAGGGTTGCATTCAATAACATCCTAACTTACAAAGGGCTCGAACAACTCGCATGCATCACCATCATACCTTACAGTTCAATTAAAAGCAGTTACCCAGTTCTACACAAAAAGAATAAAAATAAAAATGCAAGTTTCTACACCCAAACTAATGCATCCGTTAATCATACATATCATAACATACAGCTATTGCGTAAACCTGCACCTCTAGTATCCATAAAGCCCGTATTACATACCTGACCAGAGGCGTCTCGCCCAGTTTGCTTCTGACCCGCGCCAGTCCGGTGACGCTGTAGGCGTGCTGGGTCACCAGTCCGTTCCTCAGGCGCAGATTTCTCTTCGTGTCACGCTCCTAGAAACACAGGGGAAATGCCACACAGAAGATAAGTTTCCGCTCTCGAGAGACTCAGTACGAACGGATCAGGGAAGATGCGAGACTGTTCAGTGTTCCGTTCAAAACGACACAGCATAACTGGCGGACAGAGAACATGCATGTTCAGTTTCAGTTCGGAAGAGACTGTCGTGTTAGGAAAGCTTTGAGATACGCAGCAGGGTTTCCCATGTACTGTGTGCCTACTACGAGTTATCCAACATGTTTTTCTTTGACCGTACCCTGCGAACTGTGGAAAACACCAGGAGCACATGCATGGACCAGGAAAACGGTCGTAAGCGGCGACTTTACCGCCTACCGTGGAACATCATGGCTAATCGAGTGCATCACGATATGGCGCGGCAGAACAACTGAGCTTCCCAATTACATCCCTTCGCCTTTTATATTACCAGGCACGGTATCACAAATTTTTACTATTTTTTTACAGAAGTGCCGAACTGCCGAGCCGAAGACGGACATTTATTTCTTTTAGTATGCGGTTTGGATAGTAAGACAGACAATTGCCCAACATACATAATCTCAGAGGCTGACAAAAGTGGTTAGAACTTGTAACCAAAACGGCAGCGGGAGATACGTTTGACAACAAATGGCAAGCTAATTTCGTCGGCATTTCTGTTCAAAGCAAATATGCCGATTCAAGATTTGTCATATGTTTACTTCCCATAAACAATTCATAAGATAAAGAGCTCTCATATTGCTAATGCTAAATTTCACCAGATACACGTTAACTGAATGAACACACATAAGTGCACGCACTCACCATGTGTATGCTGGCCACGATGAGGCTGGAGCGCGGCACGGCGCTGTTGAGCACCTGGTAAATGACGAACGTCTCTTGCTGCTGCAGACTAAAACTCTGCACGATGCCGCCCGTAAGGTCCTGCAGCGCCAGGGTGGTCGAATTTTGGTGCAGACACTCGTACGAGCCGTACAGTCTGTGGAAAACGGCCGCCATATAATGAGTGAGAGGCAGTTCAGAGGCACAAGATTACGAAAATAGGTCGTCTCATTACTAAAGGAAAGGTTACATGATACGATAAATTTGTTAGCCTACGATCAAGTTTGTTAGTTGTTGATCTGTTATCAAAGCTGTAAACAGTGCAGCGTCATTAACACGCGCACCGACGGGGGGGGCGGATATCCGCCCCCCCCCCCTGAGGTTTTTCGCGGATAGCGGGAAAACCGCGGCGCGGAGTGCCGCGAAATTTGGTACGACTATTCTCTCATCAACTTTACACATGGTGCGCAAGTTTGAACCTCCTAACTTTTAAGGTCAGGTCACCAGCTCACTTTGAATGACCCAACCTCAAGTCATTTTTTTGCAACTTTGTCACCGTGCCAGAGCTACAGTAGATGTCGGAGGCTTTTGAAAGTCGCAGGATGTTATTAGGTCATCAGTAGCTACAATTTGTATATTTCGGAATTTTGATGTCGGTGACCTAAGGTCAGGTCAATTTCGCGACCTCCCCATTGTAAGTCAATGGGGGAAAAATCAACTCCCTGTTTTTACCACTAAAACGGGTCGGAATGGCCCCATATACCATACATGACTTCATATACGATCAACCTTCACTACCTTGAGGTCTGTTTTGCTGTTGGGCAGCTATAAGGTCATGTGACGTCATCAAAGGTCACCAAAGGTTTTTTGCCAATAACTCGGTACAGGAACAAGATATAGCCGCGCGGATGGTCTCATTGTGTTCAGCTCGTCAAGACGCATCGAATGATATACATGATGACCTCAAGGTCACGTGACCTGAGGTCAACCTTTGACCTTGACCTGTCGAGGTCAACATATATATATATATATATATATATATATATATATATATATATATATATATATATATATATATATATATATATATATATATATATATATATATATATATATATATATATATATATATATATGTTACAGGCAAAGTGAAAACTCGGGCATTTTGCAAAATGCCTAGGCAATTTGCAAAATGCCTGACAGGTTAGGCATTTTGCAAAATGCCCAGGCAATTTGCAAAATGCCTGACCGCCAGGCATTTTGCGAAATGCCTAGGCAGTTTGCAAACTGCCTGACCCACCAGGCATTTTGCAAACTGCCTAGGCAGTTTACAAAATGCCTGGCGGGTCAGGCATTTTGCAAAATGCCTGAGTTGTGATTGATTTATTTTACCGTTATTGTTTACCACAGGCGTTGACCATGTCGCTCCCATGTGCCTGAGCCCCAAACACATTCAATATTTACGAATATACCCACGTCTTGTGCCACTTCCGTCGAGATGGAACCACTACTGAATGGTGTAGATTGAGCCAAAGTCTCCCTATAATTTTCGTATACGGAGTTGTAGCTGTTCGTGTGTAGGAATGCTGCGATGGGGCGCGGAGCATGGCACAGAGAAACATGGGCGCGGAAAAACGCGGCGACCGGCCGAATATATATTGACCCGACATTCTTCGCTTCCCGTGCTTATTTACATCACGGCAAGAGAGGGCCGCAGCGACACGGGGTTGCCAGCGATCGATAGAACAGAGACAAGCGTATCCAATAAACATATTTGTTAATCACGTGTCACCTGGAAAGAAATAGTCTATATCTTGAGAAATCAGCCATTTTGGTATGTACATTTTAGGAAAAAACAGCATTTAAAAAACAATGGCAATGCATTGGAATGAGATGAGATACATTCCATAGACAACAAGAACATGTGGCTTTTCCGCTTTTCCAGAAAAGCAAGTTTTTGGTCATCCACGACCCACGTGCACACCTTTGTAATAAAAAGACGCTTAGAAATTACAAGTTTTACATGCAACGGGCATGTTCATCTTTACACAGTCACAATGCATTGATAATGTAGACGTGTGGCTCGCCAACCAAGCTACCATACATCGAAAGAACATTCTTTTTCTGATCAATATCCACACAAAGTATTTCCAGAGTCATCAAGGCTCTTAGAAACATAACCGTGTTTAACGCGTGTTTACCGATAAAACCGCGTCGGGCGCCCGGTAGCCGGCGCGGCGGCCGGGCCGCTCGCGCTGCCTGGGGCTCAGTGACCTTGAACTCGGCAGCGCTACTCGGAGAATGTCTCACTGTGTGTCCTCCCACTTGGTGCGTATCGCTTGTGATTAACCCCTGTTGGCGGCACTTACAATGATGCTTACGCATCGTCGCTGGTGTGAGTTCGATGTCAGGCATTTTGCAAACTGCCTGAGAAAATAATTTCAGGCAGTTTGCAAAATGCCTGGTGGGCCAGGCAGTTTGCAAACTGCCTAGGCATTTTGCAAAATGCCTGGCCGGTCAGGCATTTTGCAAATTGCCTGGGCATTTTACAAAATGCCTAGCCAGTCAGGCATTTTGCAAATTGCCAAGGCATTTTGCAAAATGCCCGAGTTTTCACTTTGCCTGTAACATATATATATATATATATATATATATATATATATATATATATATATATATATATATATATATATATATATATATATATATATGTATATCATTCGATGTGGATTGACGAGAGGATCACGATGATGCCCTTAGTTTGTTCCTATCTTGACTAATTCGAAAGTTATTCGAGAAAAACTCTCTCCATATCTAGCACCGCCATTTTGACTTCTTCGACCCCTGTGACGTCATCTTTGACCTGATCTGAAAATGACCTTGGTAAAAATTGTAGACCTTGTCCGTGCGTATCCGATGCCGTTTACCGCTTGTCGCTATCTTGCTTCGTTCTCGAGATCTCAGGGGGGCGGTCATCCGCCCCCCCCCCCGTCGGTACGAAGTTGGCGCAGACCCCAGTCGGTGCGCGGGTTAAAAAATAATCTGGGAACGCTCAGGTAGCTGCAGATGAATAAATCACACCTACAGGGTGTTTCACTAAAAGTGTCAAAAAGTAAATGCTTATTAAAGATATATAAAATATGCAAATCACGTGGTTGCGCACGTGGCTTTGTTGCAAATTTTTGGACATTTATGCTTTGTCCATTTAAGATGTATTTTACACCCACACGGAGCGAGGGCAGGAGGCCAAAGTTACTATAGTTCGTTTTTCTTAAGTTTGCCCCTCACTGTAAACGCCTTTTTGAACACAGCACGAGTATTGCTAGTTGAATTACTGAGAAAACTGGTTGGCGCACATTGATTTCACCAGATTTCACAGACGATCAATTTAATCAAATTTGTTTACTATTTCACAGACGCATAGCTCGTAGTTGCCCATACCTACAGCTCCACCGTGATAGACGACTTCTCAGGAATTATGTCTGAACTAATTAATAATTTGCACGGCGTTTAACATTAACGTTACATCGTCGACTTTCAAAACTTATTTTGAAAATATTATTCAAATCTCCAATACAATGTGCGCCAACCAGTTTTTTCAGTAATTCAGCTAGCAATTCTCGTGCTGTGTTCAAAAAGACGTTTACAGTGAGGGGCAAACTTAAGAAAAACGAACTATAGTCGTTTTTTTTCCCTATACAGATCAAGAACAGGTTATTTACACCTCAACAGGAGGGGTGAATTACACTTACATTTGGTGCCATCAGAAACATTGAAACCGTATGCCGACTTTTCAGGAAACGTTTTACTCTCTCACCTCGCTACGTTCCAGATTATAAAAGTTTAAAAGGGCTTCTTAAGAGGTTTAAAAGGGCTCCTTCGATGCCAGTTCCAGTCCAAAAAAGGCGGGGTCGCCCCCACCTCTCGGCGGAAACCGTTGAAAAGGTCAGGGTCTTTTTGAGGGCCTTTGAAGATAACAAGAAGCTAATTTCAACATCAGAATTCAGAAATAGCCAAGGCCTTACAAGTTATCAAAAACAGCCACTGTGACGGCTGTAGCCACCAGGAACTGGCTGGACCAGAAGTTCCTGGGCCAAATAATCAGTTGCCTCACCGCCCGCACCCATGGCCAGCGCGAAGCCCCGATCTGTCACCGCTAGACTTCTGGTTTTGGTCAGTGACTCAGTAGCTCTCGCAGAGCTGAGGAAGAATCAAGTCGCATCACTTCGGGAGCTGAAGAGCACAATTCAAGGCTTTGCCGACAGTCTGGACGCTGAATATGAAAACGAGCTGCGAGCCACCTCCGGACACGTGCCGAAACGGTGCATCAAAAGAAGGGGCGGATATGTGGAATAGGTTTGAGTGACGGTGATATCGCTGTTATATATTCAAATGTCCAACAATTGCGGATGAAATGATATGAAAAGGTCCTTAGAAAGCATTGTTCTTATGTGCATTATGACCTTTTACTTTTTGACACTTTTAGTGAAACACCCTGTATAAGTTAAATGGAGCGACAAAAGTAGACAAATAGGCAAGGCAAAATGTATACATGCACCTTCCATAGTTTTGGTTAGCCTGAATGCCTCATTATCGGCGAGGCTTTACTCACTTGGCATAGGCCTTCTCGAGGAGTGCCGACCAGAACTCTGATGGGTCCGAGGAGTGCGCGTACAGCAGACGACCTCGGAGGGTGGGCAGCCGGTCGTCTACCAGCACCTCGACCCACTCGCCAAAGTGCCAAAAACGGAACCTGAGAGAGGGTACACAACGGAGGGTTAGGGACCAGTGCCTCGACTCACTCGCCAAAGTGCCAGAAACGGAACCTGAAAGAGGGTACACAACAGATAAGTTAGGAACTAGCACCTCGACCCACTCGCCAAAGTGCCAGAAACGGAACCTGAAAGAGGGTACACAACAGATAAGTTAGGAACTAGCACCTCGACCCACTCGCCAAAGTGCCAGAAACGGAACCTGACAATTGTAAACAACAAAAGGGTTAGGGAGTAGGGACTAAGAGATGCGCTTACTCGCCAAAGAGTCAAAATCGAGCTTGACAATTTGAGATAGGGAGCGTCGAGCGACAGCAGTTTCAAGCACTATGACACGATTGACCTGCATACGATTGATGCATGAACGGAAGATTATAACACTAGCCAGTTGAGGTGACTCGCGGTCCTATTATTCCTTTACCCAAGAACACTGGCGGCTGTTCTGACCTGAACAGTCCGCAGTAGTCCTGCTCAAACGACTGATCGGGCGGCACCACCCTGTCCAGGAACCGGGGCGTCAGGGTCAGCGTGGAGACTGCCTGCAGGAGCCAGATGTCACCCAGCTCCCCCCGCTCCACATCGAACCGGCCGCTGCTGTCCGAGATGAACCGAGGACGGTCCACGATCTCCTGAACGGGGGGAGGTCAAAGGTCAGTGGACGAGTCCATTTTGTACTGCGGGAAGGTAGTACATACATGGGTCAATGGGAGATTTCACGATCCCCTGAAGGGGGAGGTCAAAGGTCAGTGGGAGAGTTCATTATTTACTGCGGGGGAGGTAGTACATACATGGGTCAGGGGAAGAGTCCATTATGTAAGTTGGGGGAGGTAGTAGAGTGTGAACGGGAGAGTGCACGATCTCCTGCACGGGGAGGTAGTAGGTACAGGGGGCCATTGAGAAAGTAATGCTACTGGCTATTGATGAGCCACATTTCCGAGTTTATGCCCACTCGTCGATAGCTATCGCTGACTGACTGATCTATGACTGACCCAAATAAGCTAACAATCATCATCAGTCACTGACATAGAAATTGCCATCTCCATATCGATATCATGCGAAGCCGTACTCACATGTGATCGAGTCACTACTATACTATACCAAGGCCGCTTACTCTCTGTTTAGCACGTAGATGAATCCAGAAAAGCACGTAGATGAATCCAGAAATACATCACCGTTTAAATAGATCGTCGTTCGCTTACAGAGTGTCAGCCATATCTTTTTCTCCCGATTCCCAGCCACATTTTCCATTTCATTTCCCTATCACGTCTCTCAAACACATCCCCCGTAATATCTCTCATTTTTTATCATATCTCCCGTGCCCTATAAAATCTCCCCCTCCCCCCCCCCCCAGCCGTCACTCACGTGCGGTCGGAGCCATACGACTCCGCTGGGGGCGCGGGCCCTGCCCAGTGCCTGGCTGCCCGCCGGGAAGTCGGGGTCCTCGAACAGAAGCCCTCGCTCCCGACAGGAGCGGCGGATGTGCTGGTAGGTGCCGCCCTTCCCCGTGGATCCCTGCTTGCTGACCGACCGGTCGATGGTCCAGTACCTGCAGGGGAGAGGAGAGATTGGTCAGTGGGCTGGTTAGATGACTCAGGTAATATTTGTGACTAGACAGATATATGGATAGATAATGGTGAAGCTAAATATATGTGGATGATGGATAGATACTTTAATTACATACTCTTGGTCCATGTATGTATGGGGAATAAAAGAAAAAAATCAAGTCACATACAATGGCAATCACAAGTAATGATCACGTCCAGATAGATAACGTACATATACATGCCAGATCCCCAAGGCACAATGCAGAAATGATACGATTTTATGGGGTGTTGAGATAGCTGGTCAGTGGTTAGATAAATTTGTGGCCGCTTTTGCCATCACATAAGCATTTGTCATTCATTTATTCGTCACTACGTTGACCTCCCGTTCGAGTCGAAAAGCGACTCCAACAACTGACACACCTCAGCGCAAAGAACTTAGGAGACGTGTTCAGTGTTCTTGTGTCATCAAGCTGCTTTCAATTTTGGCTCTTCACATTTCGGTAATGAGTGACCTGGGTCATGCGTTGAAGGAAACAAACAATTATTGTACTATTTGTCACCCACCCTGCTGTCATAAGTTACTTTTCCCGCAGGTGTAGATGGCACTGGGTCGTCATTTTCGCCGCAGTGTCGCTGGTCCGTGCGGCGCTTTCGTCACCTTTCACCTTGTGTGGTATGGGAGAGGAGCCATTACACATTGTCTTACACTTCGCGACACGGTGAAAGGCAGCGCACAGTCGAGATCAGTTTACAATACCGGAGAGATGGAGACAGAGACAGTGGGGTGCTGGTATTTTTTAGCTTCATGGATCACAGCAGACACAGACGGGTAATGTTTTAGTAGAACACTCACAACTTAAAAATACATCAAATGGTTGAAAATGGTTCGTGTTCAACTTCCACGGTGTAATATTGTGTAGGTATAGTTTAACGGCATATCAAGTGATCAAAGCAAATGTGAAAAAAGGAAATATTTTCTATGATGATGTCACATGGCAAACGATGGTAGAGAAAACAAACTTCAAGTTCAGTTACAGCATTAGTGCTATCTTAATAATCTCGTCGGAAAATGGCAAAGCAGCAGCTACATGAGAGGATCGGATGTTAGCACAGGCTGCGTTGTTAAATGTTAATTTTGTACGGGCTACGGATGCTCCTTATTCAGTTTGATTTATTGCTGCAACCTGATTCATCGTATGAACCAGTTATCAAATCAAATAAGAAGACTTGGAAGGTGATGAAACCAACAACAGCACTCTGGTTCACACATTGATCAAGAAATTGCAATGATTTCCACCTTGCAAGCACATGCGATATTACCTGCCATAACAAGGGGCAGTACACAAGCTCCGACCGCAGTTCCGCCGCGACCACTGACCTTAGCGCGCGATCTTTGACCCCAAGTCGCGACCTTTGACCTTGTCCCATGCTCGGCTGCCATTGAACCGTTGCTTCAGCGGACAATGATACTGAGTTGCGACGCCAAACGCAATAAATACAGACGGCGACGCCGCATGGAATCCGTTCATGGAAGTCGGGTTTAGGTGCAGCCTGTGACCCGTGCACATAACACTGTGTCTGGGAGTGCAATGGTGGCGGCTGCACCAAGGGTCAGTGCTGGGTCCCGCGGTCATGGGGCGGTGGCTTGACCAAGAAAGACGGCTCAGACTTCGGCGGACTTTCAGCCTGCTAGAAACGGGTTCACTTCACAAAAGCTATGCTTCATCGGGAGAACCAAGATAAAATTTATAATTGGTTCAGACGTGACATGTTTTAATTCACAAATTGGACTTGTAGCCAAATGAATGGTTCACCACCAAAGTCCAAAAAAGCGGTGTAATATCGAGGTCTCAGCTCAAATTGAAGTTTATTTCAAAGAACCTACATCATTTCGCAGAGCAGACGCTACCATACGCTAATCTGAAGCTCGCAGCTGGCACAGAGCACAGCTATACAACGTTGAATGACATTCTAGCAACTTGTATTTCATAATTTATCTTGTACTCCATAGCTGACGTATCGTGTTGAGCTGCAGTGTTTGATGTCCTGATAATGTCAATTAAACATCACATAATGTCATAGCAAATAAATTGCACACAGATCATTCTAAATGGGTTGCCAGCCATACCGAACCAGCCATACTAGTAGTTGACGAATGCACTCGTGAGTACAGCCCACCGCTAAAGTAATGTAGGGTTTTACCAATCTCAACGGTTGGCTTTGACTGGCGATTGTATGCGGAGTGATCGAAAAGAAGATGTCAACAGCTAAAATTGCAGCTGCAAGGGTGACGATAGATATAAGCTACATTCAAAGTTTCATTGTAGTCTGGTTAATCGTTCCTAAGCTTCAGAAGCAGAACATACCCATGACTGAAACCGCACATTAATTCTGCTGTGGACTGTACCTACCTACATCTGGAAATATTTGTGGTATCTTCATCTAAAACTGTAAAAAGCACCACAACAAAAAGTAATATCAATCCCACCGACCGACTCTCAGGGTCATTGACAGGGGAAATCGTCACTTCTGACAGTATAAGACCGCTGAATGACCCCCTCCACCGCCTGACCGTCCCACTTACCGACACTGACAGGCCGCTGCCTCTGGCGGCGGCAGAAGCCGTGGTCCCCCATCGCCCTCAGGCTCTGGGTCCGACTGAACGTGACGCAGGCGGACGGCAGGTCGATGGTCAGGACGGCTGGAGGGCAGCCTCACCGCGCCGCGCCGCTCAGACGTCTGCGCGTTCAGCAGCACCATGGTGATGTGGTAGGTGTAGATGTAGATGTAGATGTAGATGTAGATGTGACGATGAAGTCTCTTTACCCCATGGACGCTCTCCAACTATAGCACTTCAACGACACTATGATCTCAGTCTGTTCTACACTTCCCAATCGAATGGCTATGTTGCACTTATCTGTAATGAGTTCGCTCACCGTTCGCTTTCACACTATTCAACAATTTCAGCAGTCAGCACACTTCTTCGCTGCTGGTCCACAGGTTTCCACCGCCATTCAAGACGATGTCCTCAGACAGCACCCGAACCAACACCGTGTACTTGCTACGCTACTGTCAACTCACGTCGAATCACGACGTCAATTCACGAAGATGACCACGAGTTACACTCAAACCACCGCTGTATCGTCGTTATCCTGTCGTTCATTCAGACCGGCTGAGCCGTCCGCGACCGTCTGATGACCACTCTCCTTTACAGCACCACTGACGACTCCGCTGGAGGAGCCCGCCTCCGCCCTCTTCCCTGACGACTACCGCGGAGGAATGCCAACCGGCCGGTCGGCGTGCCGGGCCGCGGCGCGTCGCGAATTTCACGGAACGAGTTCAGTGCTCCGGTACCGCCGGCCCGGGCGCCACTGGCCGCTGGAAACTCGCCGCCGCAGACCGCCGCGACAGGCGGCTGTAGTGAGGAGTCTTGAGGTATGTGGAGCAGGGAAGTGGGAGGTGACTTCAGAAACAACAGCAACAGCAGAAGCGGTAGAAGTAGTAGTAAGAGTAATAGGTGAATTCGCAACAGCTACCGAGGTCCTGGCAGATGTAACAGCAATCACTCCAGCAGCACTAGAAACAGGAGCATTCGCATCAGCAGCACTCGCTACAGCTACCTTAGTCCAGGCAGCAGAAGTTCAGGCGGCAGCAGCAGTACTCCCAGCAGCAGCACTCACTCCAGCAGCGCTGGCAGCTCCGGCAGACTCTCCGCTGGATACACCTCCCGACGGAGTGGCCTGCACGTCTCTGTTCAGTCGACCGTGACCGGAGCGTCGGTCACGAGCGCGCGCTGCCGCCGGAAGCAGCGGGCCGACTGCACCGCTCAGCGATCGTGCTGAGCTCGTGCGGCGCCGCGGGCGGGGCAGACCCGGGCCGCACTGCAGCCGGGCTCGGGTCGGGTCGACTTAGACCGACTGCACTTCAATTCAGGTCAACTGACGTCTCTAGCTGTAGCCCAGCTGTTTCCCTATTATGGTCGAGCTGCAGTCCAAACAGTGGTAGAGCCGTGATCCAACTGAGTACCAACTCAGGCCCAGACTGCGGTTCAGCTGTAGCCAAACTACTTCTCAACTGCTGTCCAAACTTGCAGCCTAAATTCGGCCCGCTCGACTCGAACTTCCAGCAACTTGCACTGCCACCCAACTGTCACCAAACTGTCACAAAACTGTCACCGAGCTGCCGACCGTCACCCCAAACTGCTCACCAATTATCACAAAACTGTCACAAAACTCCCACCCAACTCCAGCTTGACTGTAACCTGACTGCTCTCAAAGTGCCACTCAACTGCAGCTGAGCTACTACCGAACTGCGGCGCGGTGCTGATCCACAACTGTCCTCCGGACTCGTTGAGCCCACTCACAGCGTCACAGAGTTCCAGGAACTGACCCTGCGCGGCATTCAGCACAGGATTAGTGCGGATCACACACCGCGGTGACCACTGCACGACGACGGCGCTCCAGTGACGTGGTTAGTTGGATCCAGTGACGTAGGCAGTTGTATCCAGTGACGTCATGGACGATACAGATCTGTCCGGCGTAATATCAGAGTACGCGGCACATTCTCGCACTTCAGCGCTGTCTTCTCACGTTCAGGTCAGTCATCCTGGGCCAATCTGCTCAGTTATTTCGGGCGCATACCTTTCGTTATCACACACTGAATCGCCGCTACCAATTTCGGGATGACCGAAGCAACTGCCTCGACCAAATCTTAAAATCTTCTAACCACAGGTTCAACGAATTCCGCTGCCTTAGTGCTGGGTGATCTCACAAGGATAGAGTTCCACTGTCGTCCACTATCGTATTCACTCTCTACACCTCACAACAATGACCAGACCCCACTTTACCGCTCACCACGACTGTTGTACTCGCTCTACCCCACACCCAGCAGCGCACCGTCCCTCTACCGCCACCGTTCCCGCACGGCCCGTCTCTGGTGGCCCACCGCTGCACGCTACAGCTCCGGGCGAGCCGAGCTCTCTCATTCCGCGCGTAACTTCCGGCATGCCGCCGAGGTGTCCCGTTACGGTTCCCAGCGCCGTGCGGTGGTGCCGGTCGTGCCGTGGTGCTGGTGGTAGTGCCGTGGTGCTGGTGGTGGCGATGGTGACGGCGCTAGACGCTAATTATGGTTACCAGAGTCATAACGAAGCACTGCCCCATAACCCTAGTTTCTAGGCACATCTATGATGGTATCATTTTGCCATGTAAATTTCATCAAACTGCCCATAACAAGCAAGCATTTAAAGTGGACCTCTTTTACAGTTGGTAATGAAGATGCTCTGGCATTTCAACTAATGCCTATTCATAGGTAGGTACTGATATCGCTGATCCACATTTACTAATCCGGATCACAGAAGCCAATGACTTAGAATACTAGGGCTGCGGTCGCGGTGATAGTATCAGTAGCCGGTAATTTTCACATTATCCTCCCACGACATTGGCGACAGGTGGCTAGGAAATATCACAGCTGTCGAGCGCATATGTTACCGATAGAGGGAAAACATCCGGCTGACGTTTGATGAGTGTCAATGACACCAGGCAAAAACCGCTAAATATTCAGGGCTGTGTTACGTCCGCGCACAGTGGGATCAAAAGGGATACTATTGTGATAATGATATCATAGTGATATCAGTGATATCCACTGATATCAGAGGCTAATGAGTGACAATCAGTGACATCACGGTGGCTATAAAGCGTCATCAACAATGTTGTCAGTCAAAACAGTCCTGTCCAGGGGTTGTCACATCCCATATTGATAAAGTGCTTTTTAGCTCGCGGAACATTTACGCTTTTGTGACTTCCTAGCTATTTGTTTCCTTTATTGGCAAATGTTTACAAAAAAAAACGTTGTCTTCTGTAGCAATGATTCAACTGGTGAAACAAAAAGCTATTCAACCCTGATAATCAATAGTTTGAAAATCCGGAATACTGATCGATGAGCTTCTTGAAGCAAAGGCAACAATTCGCTAAGATTGAACCATTCGATAGGTAAGCACCTGTCTGCCTCATAAATCGTATTTCTACTTCAACACACATCGTAATGCAAGACAGGGATCTACAGAAATAAGAAAAGTAAATAACTCCCACCATACGACTGCGTCAACGGCAGCGTATTTCACAGATGGGTTTCGTGTCTGCGTCCAATTGCCGGGCCATCATCGGTGAGTTGGTGTCTGACTAATTATATGGCCCAGCTCGACGACAGTTAGGCCAGCGTTCTCATACCTCCGTGATAAATGGTGTGAGTGTGTTTGTAATCGTGTAGTGGGACATCCGGAGGGGAGGGGAGGAGGAGGGAGAGGGGTGGGGAGGGGAAGGGGAGGGGAAGGGAGGTGGGGAAGGGGAGGGGAAGAGGAGTAGGAGGAGGGGAAGGGAGGTGGGGGAAAGGGAGGGAGGGGGAAGCCAGGTATCCGGACGGCCAGAAAAACCCATAATGAAGAACTCAGGGCGAAGTTCTGAAAACGAGACATACCAAACTGACACGATATATAAATAAAGCGAGAATATAGCGTTTCCATGTTTCAGTAAATGTAGCGTGGTGCCAAATAAAGCAACGCTGATGGGCATTGGTGGTAAATATTGAACCCGCGACATGACAATTGGGTGTATGTACAGCATTGTTACAGACACACGTCACACGTCACTGACTTCAGTAGTGAAATTCCTGCACGGAATGGACAGTTAGGACGGCTAAAGGACGTTGAATTTTTGTTTATAAAAGAAATATCTGTAAACGGTACATAATGTTGCCATGTTCCTTTAAAATCTCTTGTTCATTGGTACAATACAATTGTTAACATCGAAGTCCCCGAAACTTTAACGTTCCGCACACTTGACCGTTTCAAAGCCGTCCTTGCCAATGCTGTAAAAATTAAAATTATTAGCGCCGTTGCAAGGTGCCTCCACTACCAAGAAGTGTTCACATTACTGGAAGCATATTTTCCAATGTGACGCCAGATGGTGAGACTAAGTAGACAGTAAAATATAATAATATATGGTGTTTCTACAACATCCACAGTTCATGTGACATCCCTCGAATATCAGTCCGCTTCCTGAGATACATACCTAGGTCGACAGTGGCCGTGAACGAGCAGGCCCGCACACACACACACACACACACACACACACACACACACACACACATACACACACGGCGGCAGCAGGTAAACACGCACGGGCGGAGTCAGGACAGCGGCTGGGGGTGCTGACGGGAGTCAACGACACACACAGCTCTAACTTGACACGATAGGGAAACGCAAATTATAATTGACATAGTAACTAGCAGACTAAAAAAGTAGCTTTAGTCACTTCTAAATCGCTATTGAATTGGTCAGTCCAATCTATCAGAGAGCCCTGCTCTGAGCTTGACAGGCCCACCCTCCCCAGTTCACTGCCTGTATCCGCCCCTGGCAGACAGAGGCGGCGGCCTATTGGTCCCGTTGTTCGTCGGAATGCAGCGCTATTGCCTCGGGTTACGAACCGGGATTCACCGTGTCATGCCGCACATTCCATTACAGAGAGGAGCTGGGTGCAGAAAGGCGACATCAGACCTGGTTTACGTGAGTATCGAGACATCCAACTTGATGGAAGCATTCGATAAGAGACAGATAACAAATGCTAACATTTTGGAGTGACTGAAACTTATCACTTCGCACCATTTATGACCACCGGAGGAAGACACAAGTCACGCTGCAAACTGCAAGACAATCCAAAAGCAGCGAATGCTGTTCATCTCATACGCAATCTGGTTCACAGCTGCTTGAAATATTAGCGATATCATGGCCCTTCAATGACCGGAAGTTAGATCATCCCTTGCCGACCCTACGATCTGTCAGTCCATCGATCATTTAGCCGCCAGTCGACCGGTGAATAGATGCCACGGGCGACCGAGCGTCAAATTGTGAGTGTCGGCCGCGTGAGGGCTCGTGTCACGGACCACATCACGGAACACAGACCATTCGTGATGCGCCCAGTTGGAGCCACTAATAGCCATCGTAAGCGAGGGGAGACTGAGCATAAGTCGTGAATATAGCAGCCGCCCAGCCGTCAAAAAGGGAAATATATTAGTCGTGAGCAGTCCCTGTAACTATAGCTAACGTGAGGGAGGAGCAAGCACAGTAAGGAGCAGCTGTGAATCGGGATGTGTTTGGTGGTGCGACGTCAAAAGTGTTGAGAAAATCGTTTATATCTTTTGAACATTACATTTTCATTTCCCATTTCAAACC